GAATGCTACCTAAACAAGAATTAATAACTATTCGTTACACAGGAACAACGTCTGCATAACTGAAGAAAGGAGTTGGTTACAGCAACGTATCTCTTATATTTCCAAACCGGAACAGATTTGCGTAAATGCATTTGGAATCTTATCCTGCCAACCTTTAGTTTTGATTATCATATTGTCATTAATTCCACTCTTATATCATTAATAATTGTTGTCATTCAGTTTAACCAATAAATTTAAGTTTGTTGTTTGTGTCTACAGATCTTTTAGCCCACTTTTCTCCCTTAATATTTTCCAGATTCATGCACACCAACTGATTACGTAAATCCACGCTAGACCTGCCAAAGACAAGCCATTGCAGATTCATCAAAATAACAGGAAGATTATTCGTGGAGCAACAGTTGCTTTAGAGAAATGTTTCATTACCGTTACATCACTTACATAACTCGATCTCAACGGGACTTGAACTAATTTAGATGAACCTTGGCACTATCACAACTTGACACCTTCATAAATATAATTTAACGCTGAATTACTGAAATGATGAGGACTGTAAGCGATATGATATATTACGATCAAGTTCCTCCTGATTCTTTTAGTCTGCATAGGTTGCAAGCCTGGAGTCACTTAAATACAAAATCTGATAAACTTATGATGATTTAAAGTGAACCGATCGACTTATATGGGTTAAAGTACAAAAGATAGTTATTTCACGCTTTCTTCGAAGGATGGCAACATCGTCGCGATATTTTGAAGTAGCTTGTTCCGTTAGGAGTAACTACTTCAATAAGGCATGTCTTTAATGTTCATTATCATTTATTTCGATCTGCGGTTATACCATAATACATTACTATACTACTAAACATGAATTCAAACTCAATAATTTCTTACTACAGTTTATTGCTGAGGATGTACTGTAGTGCTGAGTTTGTAATAATCCGACGTACTAATTAGTGACTGTAAAACTGTTGGTAACTCCAAATGATCCTTTTCCTACAAGAATGTTATTCTGATTGTGTTCTTTTTAAGTATTTTTCAGTTGCGCAGAAAAGCAGAAAATCGCTTGCATTAATTCCTCTAAGAGGAGTAAGTAATTTAATGGACCTACTGATAGTTGAGGTGTGCTGACCGATAGTTAGACTGGGAAACTTCATGTACGTGCTGCGACTACCAAAATACCAATATTCTGTTTGAACGCACAGCTAACGAAGCAAAGTGCTTTCGATTAAACCAAATTACGTTCTTCTGTGTATAATACGAAGCGTTTTTGATTGACTCGTACTGACTTATACAAAACACAAGCCAGTGTGATAAAAACTAAAGGAATAGCTAACAATAAAGTGTTTGATACCTATAAGTCAATAAAAATATTCCCGACAAGATGTGATCCGATGGCTATCTGCAAACATCCATGTAACTTCTTCAAGCGGAAAATCGAAGGTTGACAGCCGTGCGTTGAACGTCACCGAGACCTTGAGTTTGGTCAAACACGACCTTATTATCAATGGCCCGTTAACAGAGAACTAGATAAAGGTCAAGATGCAAGACAAGAGGGAAAATGACAAAAATATACAATGAAATGCTTTGGGGAGTTTTCGGCGTGCTCTACCTGTTACAGTATTACGACTTATCACTCTTTAATGAACTAATTGCGTGTACGATTATCTTTCCGATATCACTTTATTCTTTGTTGCTACTCAAAGCAATATTCCGTTAGTTTTCATGGTAATGTGTACCATTTTAACTGAGTTTGTTTATGCTAGATAAACGATTTCGGAGGAAACTGTTTTAAAACGAAATCTCTGTTTAGTATTCTTCATAGCTACCGTGTTACACTTTTCATGAAAGGCTTTCGTGTTGCTACTTTAAAAAAAGTTACTGTTTTTAAGTTTGCTGTAGCACCTACATTGCTATACTAGAAATATTTAATGCATATACATCAAGTAGCGCGTTCATATACTAGGAGAATTGTTAGTTGTGGTCAAGTAGTAAATTTGAACCATTACAAAGGCAAGTGAATCAGAAAATGAGGGAAAATGAAATCGAAATGTCAACACTATTTGATTGTATGCTAAAAAGTACAGGGGTCTGTTTGACATACATTATTTTTGCCGACGTGACTGAAGTTGAAAAACTCCCTTTCATAAACAACACACAATATTTTCACAGTCAGGAAAATTATTCTGAACGTTTGTTTCACTTAGACGAAAACAAATATTAACAGAAATTGTTTGTAGAAATCGAAGCAGAATTTTATATCATCGTCTGATTCATCAATTTAAAGATAAAAATATACTTGAAGGAAGGACTGTTTGTTTAGTGCAACCAGTTTGACCTAGAGAACGAAAGTTTTTATTTTTAATTTAGGTCATTAGATATGAATGTGGTGAGTTTTGAGAAGCTGTGTACTTTCGGAGCTTTATTTAACTGCGATCTAGTAATTTAAACATGAAACAAAAACGTGTTCAGGATAGTTGTTTTGTTCAATTGAGATAGCTATTTGTAAGGGGATCTCCTGACCACCCAACTAAATGTTAGTCGTCAAAGTTGTTTGTGAGATAAGTACTAAGATTTACAGACAAACGATAGGGTTTACCATAGCATTTGCTGAAGGTTTGATTGATTGACGTACTTATGTGTCTTAATCAAACCTCAATTTTGGAGTTGATGTCATCTCGTCTTGAAAAATATTGCTCTCCTTCCAAATTTCAAATTGTTGTACTAATTCTTCAAAATAATTGTCACATATATTTCGATCTTCATAAGTAGTAAGGTCACTTAGAGTTAATTTACCAACACTGAATAAGTTGTACTAACCCCTGGCCTAATCATAGACTATGAACAATGAGTTTCAAAATGAGTTTCACACATCAAAGTACCAGCAAACATTGCTTTGCATTCTTTCTGTTGGTAGCACCAACGTATTAACTTCTGATCCACCGACTGTCATCTGTTCCTTTCCATAGAGTACTCTTATAACATTTTTTGTCTAACTTACATGCAGAAGGGGATTTGCTTAAAAAAAATTCTGATTATTATGAAATTAGATTTGAAATGTCAGCTCGTACACATTAAGTACAAAACAAACATCATATTCTTGTGTCATTGTTGGGGATTATTTACTCAGTGAAATCATAATAAACTATACTGAACGTTTGAGAATTTCTAGGGAGCAGATGATTGTTCAGTGCTTTATGTAGATATAACAGAAGTTAATTCTCATTTGATATACATTTTAAACCCATTTAAGTAGTATGATATGAGTTAACAATTAAGATCATCGTTTTAAGTTTGTGATTTATTTACATTGTTCACACGAATTTATTTGCTATTTTCATAGCTCACTTTTATCCGATGTGATTTAAAAATACAGGGATACTTTTGGCTTGAAGTATATGTTTAATTTTTTAAAGCAAAACAGCCTAAAAGTTTTTACATTAACGATAAGATTACTCTAATCAACAGTTGTTTTTTCATAAATGTATGATTGGACATATCTGGGATCTTCAAAATAAACTGGTAACTTTATCTTCAGAACAAGAATATTCTCAGTTTTTGATTCTCAAAATACGTGAAAGTGTTGACGAATTAGTTTTCATGTTTCATACCCCGGTGAAAACATTTGACTGTTTCCTAGACTTTCTAGTAAAATATGATAGTTTTGGAGGATTTGACGAAAGATACTGTCTGATGCATAACGCGGTAGTGGCTTTGCTTCGTTAATTTATCACCCTTGTAACCGTTATTACATAAACCTCAACGATGTTTGAAATTAGAAAGCAATAAGAATCGGCAACTAAAGTTTATTAGCGGATAGCGCAAATGGCAAAGTTATAAACATATAATGCGAATTTGAAGCAGAAAAGCAAATATGTATATGTGAGCAAATAAAGTGGCAAATTTATAGACAAATTGCATACGGACCCAGCAAGACAAAACAAAAGCTAATAATAGGATTTGAGTACGTATATACATAGAGAGGAGAATGAATCATCGAGTGATATTTAAAAGATCAATATTTTAACTAGTCTGTCATGTGATCTTATGATCATAACGGTACCAAAATTAGTCATAATCGAAAGTGGTTTTAGGGTAGTTTAAGCGCAGTTTACAAAATCATCAACAAACCAATTCGCACGTTGTAAATAAAAGTTTGAAATGATTTCACAACACTACGAAACGTTGTTTTGTCAACCAATATATACGTTGATACGGTCATATAGGGTAGATGTTCAAAGTGTTCAAACAAGTAATCTCAATTTTTTGTGTATATATAGTCGACGAATAGAGTGATAAGTTTAATTAACTCACACTTGCTATTAAGTACCTTTCAATGACCCCTTCTTAGAATTTTGTAGCATCGGTGTATCAAAAATACCTCACAACATTTCAGAATGTATCATTAGCATATTCTACGTGTAATTAGTGTACACACGAAATGTGATTAATTGTAAAAAATCCTTGCGTACTTTTAAAATATATGATTTTAGCATTCAGAAATTTATCCCTTTGTTTAAAAGACGTAAAAAATTCAAAGTTATTTGTATCAGCGGCCGAATCACTTAAGTTATCATATAAAGGAATAATGGGTCCGAAATCAGCAAGCAACAAAAGACTGAAAAGTATAGTCAGACTTAGCATCTCATGTAAATGAAACAAATTAATTCTTTTCTTCTTAAAATATGACACGTAGTAAAGTATTTAAATGTAAAACCATATACTTATTTTCAGAGCAGAACATGTACTTTTCGTATTTTGTAATTCTTTTATTACTGTGTTTGTCACCCAATAGACATTCAAAAGTACATGTACTGTTGTCGGTCAGGTAATATCCTTAACCAAGTTACTGAATCAAATATAAACGAGTTTAAAACATATTTATCTTGTAATTTAAGAGCATTTGTAATGGTCATAATGTTTCCTTTGTGAACTGACTTTTTGAGACGTTGATTTTTATTAAATTAGACACCCTGCTATTACACCTAATTTTCATATTGAAATAAATTATTACTCTTCAATAATGAAATTGTTATTCACACAAATAAAAAACAGTTTCAAAAAATAAAATACATTTATGAATAATATTAAAACAATTTGTTTTTTGAAGATACGAAAAGTCTACCGCAAGGTTACTTGCAAAAAGAAGCCCGAAAACAATAAACTGAAAGATGGTTTGGATGATCTTAAACAAGAATTGGATATGGATGAGCACAAAATACCGCTTGAAGAGTTGTATGCTCGACTTAACACCGACCCTGAAAATGGATTGAAATCTGAAGAAGTTAAGTGAGTACTGACTATTTTGTGACGTCGAATTTTGTTTCAATGTAGAATTCGATTAGAACGTGATGGACCTAACGCACTGACACCTCCAAAAACGACACCAGAATGGGTGAAATTTTGTAAGACACTGTTTGGTGGATTTTCAATGCTACTTTGGATCGGTGCCATTCTCTGCTTTATTGCGTACGGTATTCAGAGAAGTGCTGAAGATGAAGATGTAAAGGATAATGTAAGTCTTTTTTGTCATCCAAATAAACCAGTTTTGAAAATAGAAACAAGTTGGTAAGCATATTATCCCTGACCATGTATTTATACAATACAGGCTTATGTTTGACGCCTTAAAAGTTTTTCATTTTAATACACAGTTGTGTAAATATGAGAAGAGGTGGAAAGAAAGCTAGTTTACTTTATGTCTAACATCTAGAAATACGAGCTATTTCACCCGCTAATCAGTGAGTCTGATATCTATGCGTAGACATAAAAAAGATCTATACAACGATTGTGAATAGTGATGGACAACATTAACAAAAAAAGCCCAAACAGGGGTTAAAGGTAGATAACGCTAGAAAGCTATTCAAATTTATTGGAAGTGTGGGAAGTAAAATGTTTAGTTTTAAGTATGTTACCCTTGAGTAACACGAAACGATGAACCACCCTCAGAACACAAACTCTAGCGTAAAATTTTGCGAAACGGTTTATATAATCTCCTGATACTCCTGACAAGTGGAGATATTGACCAAGATTGGGCTTCGACTTTTCGCAAAATAGAAAAAAGTAGAAGTTATGTAATGCAATGTAGGGTAATATGCCCGAAGCAGGTTGACTGCGGAGATTTCTGGAGAAGCACACTAAGCTAAGTAGTTAAACCAAATCATATACGTTCTAGCACACAGAGGAAAGCCATACTTTTACTTAGTTTGTGCTGAGAACTGTCCGTTGCACTATATGGGACGGGACAGAAATCCTCTTTTCTAAATTACAGGTAAATTAGGTTGAACAATATTATTTCTAGAAAACAGTCTCTCATAATTACTTGACTGTTGATATGAGCTAAGGAACTCTAAAATCTAAAGAAAGGATGGATTCAGACCGAGCTATGAATACATACATCACGTTTGCACTGCTCTTCAGGTTTTGAAACGAAGGAATATTTATCGATTCGTAAACCCAACCTATATATTCTACCATAAAGATGCATTTGATCTAAAGTAGTTGTGTGTCAGCTTTTATCATTGAATGATGTATCTAAGAAATATATCAACCTTTTGAATGACACGTGTTCACATACTGTTAAAAGAGTTATAGCATATAGAGAACTGTTTTACAATCTGACTCTCACCAATGGTGTACAGAAAAGATCACGGATCTCTCATTGTTGTTCAATCTCGTTGACTATGTACCACTAGAAACAACTTGATAATTTATCTTTTTGCGGAAACCCCCTTGTTGATTCATAATAAACTGACGACATAGTTCTGTTTAGTAGAGATGCTAACAAAATACAAAATTTTCTAAACTTCCCCAGTAATGCAAGGAAAATTTTTGAGACGAGTTTTTTTCGTTTTAAATATAAGATCCAACCTACGATTTGTTCCACATATAGGTCTCAGACTAACCATTGAAAATGATGTAGTTTCAGTATATTTACACCTTATGCCACTATTCTCATCAGCTTAGATGAATGGTTCTTGGACGAATTCTCTACGGAGATTCAATAGCCTTCTTATACTTCTTAGAATTACATTCTCCTTTACCATAAATGAACTATTCGTCTGTTAATTTAGCTTAAAATGTGTTTTACACTAGTACAATCTGTACTGTTGTTATATTGTACATTCATATGGAAAATACAAAAAAAAACTAACTTTCGTATTTGCTATTAACACAGAACAGTTTAACTAGTGATTAAAAAAACGTTACCATGTTTAATTCATACAAGAAACTAATCAAATCAAATCATGTGCAATTATCAACTATTCATATTTTACTAAAATGTTAATTGTCTTTTCAAAAAAATGGTACCAATTGTATGAAACTATAAAGTATCTATATAGAAAAAAATCAGTATACTCAACCTCTTTTTGTCTCTGTCGCGCTTTTTTTTGTTCTGTATAACAAACACTCTTTACCATAGATTAACTAACGATTATTATTGGATGTATACTGAATCATTAAGAATCTAAGTTTGGAATTTTCTGATTTGCTAATAACGAGTAATCTATACCAACTTACTCTACTGTGTATGCTAACTAATTACCTTTATTTTACCATTTGTTAGATACTATAACATTTTGATCATTATTTTGAACGTATTAAAACCAAAGAAGTTTTTATCGTTTATGATTAATAGGGAATAATTTGTAACTTTGATATTGTTTAGTGTAGAAGTGTTTTTATCTAAGCAGAAATGCTACATAAATAGGGAAATCTACTAAAATTCAATAATGAACAATACTGTCGTAAAGGTACTTCATAGATATAGAAAATCAGCTGATAAGATAATGAATCAATATCACCTAAAGTGGTAAGGACATTTACTACTTATAAGCAATCATCACTTACCTAGACGAGTGATGTCAGCTGCTGGTCCGGAGGTTGGTTAAGGAAGGGAAGGGAAGGTCAAATTAAAAAGTAGTACCAATCCATGAGACTATTGACAATAAGGTTTGAGTTATGTTGGTAAATTCAGACTGCCTGGTTTAAATCCGGACGATGATTGAGATCAGTGGCTAGAGGTGTTGGCTGATATGAATGGGAATCGGTCACATTATCGTTGATGCTCCAGATCTCAATCTCTAATATTCCTTGATACATACCTTTCCATTGTCTTTTCGAATCATATTATCTGTGTTCGCTTTTTCTTATTGTCATTATAACTACACTATTCAGACTCCCTTTCCATTCGTCCTGTTAATGTAACGTGGTTGTACTAATATGGTGTCAAAATATAGGAAAACACAGAATCATAAATGGCCACTTTTAGAGAAATCCTACTCACTGTCCTTTTGTGGTGGGGATGTTAGTTATCAAATTGAAAGTATGGAAAGTGAATACCCGGCATCCGAACCGGGTTAGTGGCTACGGAGCATCCACCTAGTGGAGTTGGAAAACCCTGATTCGAAATCAATGGTGTATACAGGCGTCAGAATTCTAAGAGAACAAGTGGCGCATAAACCTGTTCTTAGTCACTGGCCACCATGTGTCAGCAACACCTAACGTTCCTCTACTGTCTTATGAATAAGACTTCTGGGGCAAAGGTTTGGTGAGTGACCTTGTGAGAAAACCACTCGCTTCAGTTTAGGGACCTAGATAGTATTCTCAACCTACACACAAATTCAATGATTTCTGTTTACCATATTCATATTTCAATGCCTCTTTGTACTAATCCTTGCTAATTTCATTTTTCTTTCTGAAATACATTTAAGCTTTTATAGCGAATTTTACTATATGTCTGATTCAAAAATGTAATTAACTTTGTAAAAAAGAAAACTGTAGATAATAGACAATGGTGAAATTGACATAGTTTGCATTGTATATTCTTCTATAAACTACTTAAACAGGTTATAGATATATCTGATCACAAACTAATATAACGATAGTATACATCTTCAATGTGTGTACTGATAAAGTAATTATGCATGAAATAACTGGAATTCTCATTTGATTGAATGATATTACCTTATGCAAAAGTTTTTCAATGATAATTACACTGTACATTTTTGAATATAAACTATGTATGTACAAGTTAAACATCAAATTGTATAACGGATTATTCTCATCAAACAAAACACTGTAATCCCGATTAATGTTATTGAACTATTTACTTTGGAGTTTGTAGTCGACTTATAAAAGAACTTTATTAAAATGAGACAATATACAAAGATGATAAACAAAAAATGGATAGTGGCTAGTAGTCAAATCTAGGATGCACGTTTCGTCCTATTCGGGACTCGTCAGCTGGATGTAACTGCACCTCAAATTTGATGTTCAATACAGAACTGGGACCCACCACCGTTCGCTTCAAACGTCATCTTGTTATCCACTTAGCTACTGAGTCCTGATAACCACTTTTTTGTGCAAGATTAAAATAAACAATACCAAGTGAATTTAAAAGAGGTGATAATTTGCCAAAATAAATAATAATACCATAAACTGTAATGGCTATATATAGAGAGCAACACTGAAAACAAAATGATAAATTAAATAACAAAACGATAACAAACGTTATTTAAGGGATATTACTTAAAAGTTCCTTAGAGAATAACCACTACAAATGGAGTGAATTCAATCAAGAGATGATCTTTTGCACAATTGACATCGACAAAGTGAAGTAAAGTATAAATCTGATAGCTTTATTGAATAGTAATATAAACCAATTAGTTCTATTGAGTATAAAAGGCTCTTAAAGGATATTATACCATTATAACATAATCTTCAATCAAAGGCTTTAGTCAATAAAACCGAAACGTGACTGAAGTAAATAGAACTTATTTGAATGACCAATTAATAATGTTCATTCACAATTTATACAAATAAATAATAGATACTGACTATAGAGATGATTATATCAAAAGAGTTATAAAGAATGAAAAGATATACTTTAAATAATTGAGATCATGAGTCAATTGATGCTAGATCACCATGGAAAAATTGGAAGGACTAAGTGGCCGTTTTGTCTTATTGTGGGACTCCCACAGCAGTGAGCATTCACGACTCCACCCCGCAGGATTCGGACCCGGGGCCTGTCAGTCTCGCACACCAGCGATTAACCACTAGATCACTAAGCTGGCCGGCATCCAATGGTGTTAATGTCTAACTTCAACTAATCCACAAAATTGAGCAACATATTCACCATTGTCATCAGAGAGTTACTATCTCACAACTGACCCTGTTGAACTCCTTTGGTCACTACTTCTCGCTAGAACTCCAGGATATACACCTTGAAACCAGTCACTAGTGAGCATATGTTGATTAGTATCAGAAAGGGTTTTTTGTGGATATTATAGTAATTTATATAGTTGAGATCATGAGTCAATCGAAGCTAGATCACAATGGAAAACCTGAAAGCACAGAACAGCCGTTTTGTCCTATACTCTTCATTTTGTATTTATAACGATTCCAATCTCATAATATCATTATAATCAGTTAGTAATTTCTGATTTCAATCGACTAATCAATTCTCATTATACACATCATTATAACATGAATTATGGTAAAAATATCTTACTT